TGAAGAAAAGACACTTATGGGCGCGAAAACATTTAAAGTGGAATGTTAAACAGTGGGAAAAGGTTTTATGGTCTGATGAGACAAAATTTCAGTTGTTTGGATCAAATAGAAGAGTGTTTGTACGAAGAATGCCAGGGAAGTGAGCTAGTGAGTCCTGTGTTGTACCTATAAGGTATATATCAGTTCGTTGGATTGCGTGATTAATGGTTGGCTCACGCGCACTGTTAATGTTTGCGCGTGCGTTTGAAATTTCCAGCATAAAATTTATCGCGATGGCGGCATTTAGCATATAGTTCTGATCTTTTGTTTAAAAGTATATGCTCATCAGCTTTCATTAGGCAAAGTTTTTCTTCAATGCAGAGATTACAACGCTTTCCACCAGGTTTGTGAGGATAAGCATGACGCAGAATTGACCACTTCAACTCGAACTCTGTATTGTCTCTTTTCAATCCCCAGATATACTTTGAGAGCTCCGTCTCCTTTTCATACTTCTCGTTGTTAATCGACTTCTTGTGGTTACGGAATCTTTCTTTGAACGAATTTGCAGTCATTCCAATATATTCCTTAATTTGCCCGTCGACTGATGCCACCCTTGCCTTATACACGATGCTTTTAGTTAAGCAGTTCTAATTCAAAGGGCATTCTTTCGAATTTCTACAATTGCAATTATCTTGAGTTGGAGCGACTATGGGTTTGGATAGAACTTGCTTGTTATGGCGAGATATTATACTTTTAACGTTGGGCATGCAGCTATAGCTAACTTTTACTGTGTTTCGGTTGAATAATTTGTGCAAAGGAGTTGTAGAGGGGAAGTGTTTATCGATAAGTTGTAGGAATATCCGAGCGATGTTTGTTTTCACTGATTTGCTAAATGGGGGGTTAAACCAGATGACGTTTCTTTGACGCTTACGTTTCGTGGATGGTGGAGAGGGCGGACAGCTGGACGAATATTATATATATTATATATATATATATATATATATATATATATATATTATATATATTATATTTATATTATATTATATTTATATTATATATATATATATAATATATATATATATATATATATAATTATATATATATATATATATATTATAATATATATATATATATATAATATAACAGCCTCAATGCGAGGTATTCATCGAAAAGGTTATGTAAAAATGTAAAGAGAAATTTTTCATTAGAACATGTGCTTTTTAAAATCGGCGAGGCTTACAATAAAGATCTAAAACCCGCAAAATCCCCCCGCAAACACTAAAACATCGGTGAATATTTTAGTGATCGAATAAAAAGCGAATATATACTGTATGATTAAGGATCAAAGCCGTTTTCATGAGCACTAGCGAACAGGTTTTCCACGCAAAACATATACACACGCGTTATTTGTTGAGAAAGGGTTTTGGGAGGAGCACATTTATATGAGGTGCATGTAATTCTATTGAAATTGGTATAATGTTCTTTTATACATCCTATTATAGATATATGTTTTATTCGCTCCTTTCGCTTCGGCTTCTTGTCAGCAACAACTCTATCATAATCGCTATATTTAGACTAATCTTAATTCCCATGTGGGCGTGTCCTTTATGCTTGTTAACATTACTATAATTGGCAAGGAATTCTATATGGTCAATGTTATACCCGGCATAGTCTCGTTCTTTAATGGCCTTTAAATCGTTGTCCTTTGGTTTGTATTGGGAGATTAAGCATGGAAACGTGAGCGTCAAAGAAGACGTAAAAATGGCGAGGAAATGGCGAAGAAATGGGAAAAATAATGCGCAACACGCCATTTATTCGCCATTTTCACATCGTCTTTGACGTTTACGTGCTCAAGCTAAGTACCAAGCTGAAAAGCAATTCGTACTCGAATTGGAGGGGACCACGGAGAATGGTGGCTCGCTGGCTTTAGCCTCACCAATAAATTTTCCGTAATTATAGTCCTTAATTTCGAATATTTTTTAGTTCGCTTATATTTGCAAGCAATATTTTTTGCAATTTGTATTTTTTGCTTACAAGAATGTGCAATGTGTATTATCTTGAATACTATCGTAACTTTTACTTCTTCAACGTATATTTTAATAACCAATTAAAAGAAATGAGTATTCTAATTTCCAACGATATCTGTCGTAATAAATCCGCCACGTTTACAAATGGATTGAAATTAGTTATGTTCATTACATATGTTTAGTGAAAGAAAAAAGTGACAAAAAGGACAAGCATTTGACCATTAAAACAGCCTGGTTATCCATGTCAAAATATTTGACATCATAACCAAAGTATGGTTATATTTTCCGGTATCGTTGTGTACCGTTTTTCCGGCGTATTCGACCATGGTCAGGTATACTGTTTTCCGGCCATATTCGACCATGGTCGAGTATACCGTTTTCCGGCCATATTCGATGCTAGCAAGTTGCCACTTTATATAGATGCTTATATATGAGCGCCAAACATGCTGGAAACTTTACATAGGACAAGCATTTGACTATTAAAACAGCGTGGTTATCCATATCAAAATATTTGACATCATGGCCAAAGCATGGTTATATTGTTTAATATTTGCATATGAGCCCCAAACATGCTGGAAACTTCACATAGGACAAACATTTGAGCATTAAAATAGCGTGGTTCCTCTCTGTCTCTCCTCTTAATCCTTCTGCTTAAGACATGCGGGAAGCCAACAACTACAGCGCCATTGTCAAACTTGCAAGAGGAGCCTCTTTCGTTGTTTGTATTGTTTGTATATGATATGAGCGCCAATTCCCGCCAAACATGCCGGAAACTTTACAAAGTGTCTTCTATTTCCCAATAATTTTTAAATTGAGAGGCATATGCGGCCATTTCAGAGGCCTATGTATATTTCAAAATTTTCCCGGACTCTCCTAGCAGGCGCGCGGTTCCGAGCCCCAGCAATACGAAAAAAGCCGCGGTCCCTGAAAACGAGTTTGTGATTTGACTTAATAGCTCGTGTTGCTGTTTGTTTTAGAATTATAATTATAAATTCTCAAAAGTACTAGAAATACATGCATGCAAAGTCCCCTCGCCTGAAGCAATAAACATATATTTCCATCACTGAAATGCTATAATACTCGTTTCTGCTGAATGATCGGAGTCGCAAAGTAAAATCCTACATCTTGGTACAGTAATAAAGTCGACTCTCGAGCTATCAAATTCGACTATAATCATAATTGTGCTACGAATTGCTTTAAAAATAATACAGTTTTAGCGAAATTTCAATTGCTTTTTAAACAGATTAACCATTAAAAATAAATACTTTTCAAATCAAAATCATTTTAACGAAATTAACGAATAAATTCAAAGAGGTGTCGTACGTTTGTTGATAAATCCACATATTTATAAACTTACAAAATACTTGCATGCTTTAAAATTCAAAATCTACCTATTTACCTGTTCAAAAACACTCCAAAAATGCTTCAAAATCGTAGAATTTTCACCATCTATTTGAATCAAAGTTTTTCGATCCGAAAACATCATTTACTTTACGTTTTGATCAATTTTACGATTGAATTTTTCCGTATATTTTCAAAACCATCCAAATGAAAAATATTTTTTAAAAAGTTTTATATTTCAAAATATCAGTTATGCTGACGCGAAACAAAATTTTAATTGAGCCAATCGTACGCTTCCAAACGTTTGTTACTTACCAGTTTTAACTCGTCTTAAACTTACGCATGCGCATAACTTACAAAAACGCCCAACGTCCATGACATAATGGCGAACAACTTTCATTTCGCATTTGCATTCCCGGGCGTAATTAAAATCTCCGGGCGGAATTAGTACCCTCGCCCGGTGTTTCGCACCGGCTCGGGGATAAGGATAACTTCACGGATTCACGACAAAATATCTGGTTTCAATGGTGGTGGACACCGTGTACGCTAACGGATACTTGTCTTTTTATCTTTAAGCTTTGCATTGAATTAATCTATTTCACAAGTGTGGAATTGGAGGAGATCGAGAAAGAAAAACCTTCGAATTCTTTAAAAGAAACACTTTGGGATTTGTGGCGTGGGATTATTGGTTGGTGTTCCTCGAGCTGTATACAGTCACTATAAATATCGAGTTGTACGATATGAGAATACTAGAAAGCTTTTTTGAACTTTTTTTACTAGGTTCATTTCTGGCTAGTGCAATCCTCACGACTATGATCTGTGCGCTCTCCCTCATTCTTTTCATGGAAAATCATAAGTATAAGGAAAAAGAAGCGTAATCCATAGGTTTTGATATTCAGGGTGCCCCCCCAAAAAAACCAAGACCAATAGACCAAGACCAATAAGCTAATGCATGCATATAGTACTATAAGCCAAATCCACGAGTTAATGAAAATTTGCGGCATAACAGTCAATAATTACTACTTATATAAACTTAAGCAAATCTTGATGTTAGACAAAACAAATTGAACCCACAGTGCATGGCATATTCAAATGCAGTTCTTTGCGGAACGCTTTTCAACTTTATTTCGCGAAAATTTGCCTTTATTTGAATCGTTGTATAGAACTATCGAGAAACATTTTTTACTTATGTAAAACATGTATTTTCTACAAAAGATTCGCTTGTCAAAAAATCGCCTTTGTAATTATACCAAAACAATTATTCACCTCAGACTCAGTGAATTGCTCTGTATAAAAACCTCGATTTCGTGTCGGCTTTTATTCAGCGATGTTCAACTCCCGATATTCAACTCGCCTTCGGAGAATAATTGTTAAGCAACGATAATGTAAATACCGAATTACAACAAACATGTAGATTACAACGAATTATGTTGTATAAAAATTAGGCTTTGAGCTGCATGGCACACTTGAAAAATTTCCTTAGGGCAGGACATAGGCCTCGATAATGCGCAGTAAATTTTTGGAGATATTTGTGTTGCGAGGAAAGAACCCCAAAATCATCGGAAAGAATCTCGCAATCGGAAAATAATTACGGGGTTTTTGGAACAGCCTGGATTATAGTTTTTACATGATCTTCCTTGTAATTTGTTTCAGGAATAACATGCTGAGGATGTTCAGAGGGAATAAATCGTTTATCGCTAAGCACATAAGCGTGTCACAGTTTATGGTTGTAAGTTAAGAAGTTCTTTTTATTACTCCTAAGTTCCTTAAAAAATTAGATATTGCTTATCCGAGCAGTGAGTCGGGCCAAGTCGCGCCTGTAGAGTAGTAAAAAATGAAGATTATAGCGTCAAGTAGAAGTTAGAGTGCAGATATCTTTAGAGTAAGGTAAATGTGGAATAAACGGTCGCTAAGTAGAAGTTAGAGTACGCATACGGATAGAGTAGGCTCAGTAGGGTGAATTTGGAATAAACATTGGTTAAGTAGAAATTGTACGTATAGAGTAATTAGGCTTATAGTAGGGTAAATGTTGAATCATGTAGCTACTCGTTGGTGCATCAAACGCAAAATAAAAAATTTTAAATATTGACCTAATTTAGTCGTAAAGAATGCTATAGGGATATATTTGGTTTACGTTTCAAACCACAATTTTTGAAATTAATAATTAGAATTTAATGACGGCGGGAATTCACTCTCTACCAAGCAATTGAACTTCCGTTCTTCCATTTTTACAGGGAAAGGGACTTCGATATCATAGTTTTCAGATTGGATACTTTTTATGGGGTGAGTGTTCGTTGATTATGTATGATAGGTATATTATACCATCGAATTTATGGCTTCAAATCAACCCCTAAATCGGTACTTGTTACTGCACTTGTTATTTCCAGCAAAGAAAGGGGTATAAAACACAGCTATGGAGGTGCTTTTGTAACACTTGAACATTATAACAGCTAGTGCATACATCATGTTTTCTTGAAAAATTAATTAAGTCGCGACACTTGTGTTCCCGTCTATACAAAGACGATCATCAACTACACTTCACTGCATGATCAACTATTTTTGTGTTAAATTTTTCTCTACAGTAGGGGCCATCCTAATGGTCATATTGTATTGATATCGCTTCTTTTTCTTTCCAGGCTTTCTTCTAAATTGGATTTTCATATGTATCCCATGTGCTCTTTTATATTCCTTGAAATTTTCCTGGGTTCGGGATTGGATCCTCGGCTATATCAGCGGCGGCGGGTAGGTGGAATCAACTGTGTTTATTTACTCTTAAGATTTTCAATTAAACATTCTTAGCAATGTTATTAACAATGTGTTTTGGCATTTCTTATTTTGCCAAGTTGAATACTTCCTCTCTGCAAATATTGCTGGCATTTTCCTTGTACATTTTATTAACAGAAATGCTCAGACCCAAACTGACCCAAACTTTGTATATTATTTTCATACAGTTTATTGCATCTGAATCAACTAATCAAAATTGAAAATAGTGAATGTTAAATTGGAAAGTGGAAGTCAAGTCCGTATCGGTTCTGCGCATCGGTTCAGCTCATAAGTCATAACAATGTTTGAGCCTGTAGCATAAAACTTACCCATATTTCGCACGTATCGAATATTTCTGATAATGCGCGCTAATTTCATTTAAAAACGTAGCGAGCCTAATTGGTGTTAGATATTCAGAAAGTACAGCGTTTTTCTTATTAAGTATTGAAGTTTTAACTGTAAACAAACCGTTTGTTTACATACGAACTTGAATTCCACTTTAATGCAAAGTTGTTGCCTTAGGTTTTAACAGTTTTTGTTTGACATTCTATTTAGCATACTCTTTGGCTTGGCTCTTTTCTTTCGGCTGTGCTCCATTGCAGCTTCTGTGACAATATTCCGGGATCGTAACTTCTCTAGAAACGTCATTTCCATAAACAACAGGTATGTCTTCATTGCGCTTTCTGAGGGGTTAGACCCTACAATGGTTGAGTCAGATTCCTATATCACGAAGCCGTCATTTTTAGTTAGAATATTTGTAGGATTTCAAGGACTTCGCTTTAGAAATATGAGACACACTCTGATTTACCTTAGAAATATCCTATATTTTCATCCCTTCTGCAGGAATGTCTATTTGGTGTTTTCGTATTTTTGGTTTTTCGTGGGACTTCCGATGGGTGTCTTTTCTGCCATATTTCGTATCATAAAAACAATGATTGTGGGATTTCTGATGTTGCCAAGAATTGATCATAGCATCATGCCTGATGGTTTTCAACGGTTTGATCCAGGTAACCTAGAGGGACAGAAAGGTGGGAAGAGGGACAGAAAGGTGGGAAGAGGGAGAGAGAGGGTTTCAGTTATCTGTTTATATTTGGATTTTTTTAACATCTCACTTGCCATAATATTAATATACTGTAGCATGATAAACATTGATGATGAACGCTTATTTTTTGGGGCCTCCTATAACTACAGAGTGCTCAGTACTATATAGATAGAGATTAAGATATGCTGAAACTATTGTTTTACCAAAAATCGTCCACTACAGTCTGTTTGACGAAATGATGCTGCTTGAGTAGTTTTGGTCAAAACGTGGGTGGGTGGCGTTCAAACAATGCATGCATTTCTAAGATTTTTTCGTATAACATGTCAGCTTGAAACATTCTTTTGTGATTAAATAAGGAAACTAATTATGATTTTTTGTTTAACAAAAAGGAATCTATCTGTATCTTAATTCTTTAAAAGGTTACAATGCGTACATATGTTATCTTCACGTCCAAGCAGCTTTCAGAAACCCAGTTCTTCGAGTGTTTTGTCAAACACTGATCGATGATCACGAAACACGTAAGTTCTGCCACGTATCCGTCTTTACTGAATTAGGGACTGAATATTCGTATCACACAAATGGTGGAACCTTGCTGTATAATAAAATATGCATTAGTAAGGAAGAAAGCCTAAAACCTATACACCACGGTTAACGGTAGCTTGTAAATAGTTATTAATCATCTACAGAAGCAAAACGGGCTATGCATATAATTATTATCAATTAATTTAGCCGTTTTTGAACTATTCTCGGAATCGTTCACATTAATTGGTATTGTGTTCCCACTCAGTCAAGTACTCGGAAAATATATACCTAGCTATATATTTAAAAACTTTATATATATATAGTATATACATCATTCATTATATATGCGAATACTATAATATCCAGTTTATGATTAATTATGCCAATTAACGATACTACAATTGGTTATTTGAATGGTATAGAAAAGAGAATATTATAGACTCATGCAATCACTGCTACACTTGTGGTGGTCATAACCACCAACCACTAGCGCTAAATTCAGTTTTCCAATACTAAACAATGTTTATCTGACTTCCTCATCGTTGTATATATCCTAGAAAGGAAAATTGGACCAAAGTGGACTCGCTCTCCCCAGGCCCGCGCCAAGTGGTTCATCGCACTCACCTTGGCTCGCAATCCACAACTTGCAGCTGAACGAAAACGTGCGAAAACAATGTGTGTCAAAGATAGCGACGTCAAAATCGATGTTGGTAATTATGGGCCAGATAATGCAGGATTAATACTAGATAAGTAAACAATCATGTTTAAGTTGCAAGCTTCTTTAGATTTTCTTTTATTAGCTAATTAGTTGCATTAGATTTTCTTTTTTTATTAGCTAGTTAGTTGTATTACGTTTGGAAACGAACCGTGCATGACAAAACATTTTCATCCTCACATTTTCGAATGTGAAAAGCACGGTGTTTTGACGATATCAAGCCTTGTTGTCATGTTGTGGTTAATGAAGAAATGTAGTATTAAAATAACAAATATAGTGCACCGGTACAAGGTTCCTCACAAAGCTATTCGATCCCAAACACTGTCCTTGCTGCGATCCTTGCTTGCTAAAGCAGGAATATCTGTAGACTACACCGGACATTCAACGAGATCAACCTCGATATCGGAAGCGCAAACGTGGGCGTGCCGTTGGAGATTATACTAGGTGCAGCTTGATTGGTTTTCGGCAAATGTTTTTAACAAACATCATAAAAAGACTCAAAATACCTTTGCAAATGCTGTGTTAAGTACATAGTTGCTGAAAATTAAAAGTACATTTTCTGTTTTGCTTTGGTTGTCGGTTTAGTATCAGAGGCCTTGCAGTAAGGCTTTGAAATCTGCACCAGTATTGTGAGTATCAGTCGAAGAAGGTACGAAGGAGGAATAAAATTTCCCCGGAGGGTAGTCACCTGACGGGGAGAAGTAGTTCTCCGAGGTCCTTCGAAGACTGATAGGAACAATACTGGTTCCCCAACCGTTATATACCGATAAATTAGCGTGGGTTCCAGACCACTGCTGGCCGCGGATCTGCACCAGTATTGCTCCTCCTATCAATCTTCGAAGGTCCTCGGAGAACTACATCTCCCCGTCAGGTGACCCTCCGGGGAGATTTAATTTCTATTTATATATTTAACAATGTAAATAACCAATTCATTCGCACCGAAGATGGCTTATAGTTAAGTCGAAACATGTTTGCTATTAAAAATTTATTTCAAATGCTTAAGTTCATGTCATGTGCCACTGACGCTGATAATAGGGAGATTTAGCATCAAGACGTGAACGTCAAATACGACGTGAAAATGGCGAGTAAATGGCGTGGCATGTCCATATTTGGGCGCAAACGCCACTTATTCGCCATTTTCACATCGTCTTTGATCACGTCCTCATGCTAAATCGCTCCAATTGCCGACTTGAGGCCGTGAAATTTGAGAAACAGGCTTATGTAGTTATGAAACCTGATACGTCTCGATTCCCGTGTCAAGCATAAACTGTTATTTCAAGCAAGAAGCGTTTCCATCCAGAAATTTTCTTTCCCAGGAAAATTCAATTGTCCGTAAGTCGACAATAATATCGACATTGTTATTATTTTATTGTGTACTGCTTGTCGCTATATAACTTATATTCTACTCTACTGTATAGTTTACGTGCACAATTAGGAAAATAAAGAAGAAATATAGAGCATATCTGACTAATCCTAAAGCATTAACCATTGCTTCTCAGTATATTTGGAAACAAACTGACAGTGTTTAGCAGAATAGCAGACAAATATAAGCAGAATAGCAGCTGATATATATATAAATTTACATAATTACATATCGTTGTTTGCTTACGCCATCCTCCCATCAGCCAAGATTCGTAGTCGTCGAGCTTTTGAGTACGAGTATTTTGATAAATTTCGTACTCGAAAGCCCAACGACTGCGAGTTTTTGCCGAATTTTCGTACTCGTAGTCGTACACCTAGTGGTACTCGTAGTCGTACTCGTCACTGCTAAAGCTCCCTATTTGTAGAATTGTTGTTTACTAGCGAGGCTTGCGGCATGAGATAAAGTATTTGATGTCTATTTTATGTGATTTTGTCGTAGCCGTAGGTCGAAACGTCGAATATTAACATTAATCAAGTGTACAGAATTCAACTGCATGTCGTGTACTCGTAATTCTATATACTACGATATTATCATTATTATGGAGACATTGATATGGCTGAAATTCATTCAGATATGCATGCGTGTATTGAAGTCCTTACAATATCTGTCAAAGCCACAAAGACACGTTTTCTGTGAAAGCCACAAAGACAAGTTCAGAAGTCGAGATCATGATCGAATCAGGTCGATATAATTTATCAGGGTTTTAGTCGGTCAGTTAAGATGATGGTTTTTAGCAACAAAGAAAGGCCCCGAAGTTGGGATGAGGCAATTTTTTGGGCAGGCAAATTACAAAGATTTGGGAAAGCGTTAGGCTGGTGGTTGGTCCGTCGATCGCCGTCATTCTTGCATGATGATTGAAGGCTGTAGCACCGCTAGCACGTACTGTGATGGTACTATACTCTATAGCTTCTTCAATTTCCGCCATCTCGGCTTCATACTTTTGCCAGGAAGAATGATTATTGAAGTTCTCACTTTTATTGCTTTGTTTCCTTGTCTGTATGAATATAGAAATTATGCAAATAATTATGATTTTTGGCACTCGCAATTAAGACCCTTTAAACCTTATGCAAATAATGCCTTTGGCTTTAATCTTTATGCAGATATAGACCTTTTGCATTATAGACTACTTTTTGATCTATGCGAGGAAATGCTTTGGATGTGGTGAAAACTTGCGAGAATATGAAGATCAATCAATCAAAAATCAATCAATCAATCAAAAATCAATCAATCAATCAATCAATCAAAAACTTTATTTAACCACGGTAAAATCTACAGTATAAAAAGGTTATTGGACATTTAAAGAAAAGTTACAAAGTACAGGTATACATAGGACAATTACACAAGACTGAACGATTTACAAGATTGCCGTGCGGGAGTCTAATCTCTCTTTTAAACTGGTTAAGGGAGCATAAAATGCTCGTACATTTAGTGGTAACTAATTCCACAACACTGCACCACTATAACTAAAACTACGTTTTGCATAATTTGTTCGCGGTTTTGGCACAAATAATTAAAGTGTTTTCAGAATTTCTTAAGTTGTATCTAGTGCTGCGAACTTGAAATAAATCAAGAAGATATGTCGGTGTTTAATCATTTAGAGTTTTGAACATCATTACACCCTTATGTTTTTTCCGGCGTATTAAAAGAATATCCCAACCTAGTTTGTTAAAAAGGTCGCTGGAACTAGCATCAATTAGAGATTTGGTGATTACCCTCGCTGCTCTATTTTGCAGCTTTTGCTGCTCTGGTTTGCAATCATATCCCAGAGCCACCCAACGATATAGTTATTGTGTCTAAAATGTTCCCAGAGTATACATACCAAGGACAAGCGAAAAGCCAGCTGAGAAATGAATATTTTCATTGTGCAACTCATGTGCTAAGAATAAGGATCAAACTTTTGAAGCCCGCAAATTAAGTCCCATCAGTTAGGACATTCGACCCTTCATTCAGTTGTTTCACCTAAAGCATCTGCGAGAACGTTTTTCTACGCGATCAAACAGTCAGATACTACTTTAAAAACATGATATCAATAATCATTGGAAATTCAAAAGTTTTGTTATTAAATCTAACGTTTTGTTAAATGCGGTGAAGACTTCTACAAACACTGAAGACATCTAGATTCAAAAATGTAAATAGATATCCTAGTTATAGAAATTGAAGTTACTGTTATTCTTAATCTAATTTACCGTTAAGACTAGAAATGATCTTCATTTCGATATCGAACATGGATATTTATCAATGATCAGTTACTAGAGTTACCGGTTATCCGGCTATTCGATTACCCGGTTATCCGTTACCCGTGTTACCCATTTGGTCTGTGTCTGTCGTGCTGTTCTACTTATTATGCATATCTTGTATCCTGTTATGTTGTCAATCATTGTAGTAAATAACTAGAAGTAATCAAAGATTAGCAAGTGCGTTCGGTGGTGCGGTTTGTTTACTTTATGAGCAAATAAAATTCCGGATTTCGCATGGTTAAACCAACGGAAGATAGCTTCCTGATGCTTTGACGAGAATTCTCAGTCATATTGCAGACACTTCAAATCAAAATAATCGAGTGTACAATTCCCATAACTTCTTAATAAACAGGCGAATATGAAAGCCAAATGCCCGGTCCTATAAACAACAGCGTATTATCGCAAAATACGGAAAGCACGTGACATTAGGAACGGCACAAAACCCGGAAATCAGAGCATACGCAAAAACACGAAACCGAGGCAAATGTTACATCCAAAAATCTCGAAATGACATAGCATCCAGCCGTGACGTCACGATTAGGAAGCGTTCTCCTTCGTCGAACGCAATTATGTTATTCATTGAGTATCACCTCGCCTGTATCATTATTTGATTTATTTCTACTTTATATATTTAACAATGTAAATAACTAATTCATTCGCACTGAAGATGGCTTATATATAGTTAAGTCGAAACATGTTTGCAATTAAAAATTCTGTCGTTTATTTCAAATGCCTAAATTCATTTCATGTGCCACTGACTCTGATAATTGCCGACTGTCAGGCCGTGAAATTTGAGAATCAGGCTTATGTAGTTATGAAACCCGATACGTCTCGATTCCCGTGTCAAGCGTAAACTTTTATTTCGAGCAAGAAGCGTTTCCATCCAGAGAATTTTGTTTCCAGGAAAAATCAATCGTCCGTAAGTCCGCAAAAATATCGACATTGTTATTACTTTATTGTAGACTGGCTTGTCGCTATATAACTTATATTCAGGCTACTCTACTATATAGTTTACATGCTCAATTAGGAAAATGAAAGAGAAATATAAAGCATATTTGACTAATCCTAAAGCATTATCCATTGCTTCTATATTTGGAAATAAATTGACAGTGTAGACTCACTATTGTGAAGCATCGTTGTTCCTAATAGCAGAATAGCGGCTAATATATATTTATATTAATTACATATAATTACATAAATTCGCCAATACCTGTTATTCTGTATTATCAAGGAGCTTTAGAAGTGACTACGAGTATGAGATTCGTCATTCTCGCCGCGAGAATCTCGCGCGTTGTTTGCTTACGATACAGATTACACCCAGATGTTTCACTTCTGATTAAAAAAGCGTGACTAGAGGCATCACCCCCCGAAATTTGAAAATGGAGCCGAACCATTTATATTGACAACAAACATGAAAATAAACTCCTCTCATTTGCTAGAGAAAGGGACCGTGTGGTTAAATTTGTGTGTGAACCCTCATCATATCTATACGCGTACTCAACGACTACGAGTTTTGGCCGAGTTTTCGTCGTCGTACTCGTAGTCACTGCTAAAGCTCCCTGTTTGTAGAATTGTAGTGTACTAGTGAGGCTTGACATCAGATATAACGTATATGATGACCATTTTATGTGATTATGTCGTAGGTCGAACCTTTATGCTTGCAAAGTTTGCAAATTTGTATATACTTTTTAGGACAAACAGAAATTGTTACCATTTTTGACCTAAATGTGGTAACAATTTCCGTTTGTCCTGAAAAGTATACAAATTTGCGAACTTCGCAAGGCTATATTTTCTGTATTTTACAACATTTCGCAACCAAACTTTGCATTTCTACTACTTGAGTAATTTCAGTAAGCTCTTTTCAGCTGTGGTGATTTGATTGCATTTCCTTGCATAGATAAAAAGTTGTAGTCTATTGTTGGTCACAACCTGGCTTAGCGCTGTTTTCCACTTCGGCCGTACCGCAGCGAATATATCATTCTTTCCTAGGCACTCACAGATAGAACTAATGACTTTGAAACAAATTAAGGATTACGCTAAGCTTCGCTACAATATTGTTGCAATGGATAGCAGGCCTTATTCCGATTTCTCTTATAGCTTACGTATCTCACCAGCAATGACTAACCAGACAAACTTATCATCCAACGAATCTCCCACTGCGTGAGTATACATGATAATTGCTTGGCTACAAATGTCTGTAATTGTTTCAAGTGTCAATGTGTTTTCTTATTTCTAGTGCTGCATGTGATGTTGATACAAGATATATCCTCATTTTCTTATTGATACCTGCTGTAAGTTTAAAATGTCACACTTGTGTTACGAAACTTAATCAGCATCCTGTGGTTTCTTTTTAGGGCTTTCGAAATAGGATGATAGGAAGAGCTTAGTTAAGATTAGGAGCTTAATTGCCATGTTTACTATTCCGAGTGTATAAAAATCGGCTTGCTAAGTGTTGATATGGCTACTGCGTTTATAATCTGTTATGGAGTGATGTAATGAAGTATAAGTGTCAAAACAACGCTTGATGATTTTATATGAAATCATTTTTAAATTATAATTTCTCTGGGGAAATCCCTTCAATTTAACTACTAAGATCCTGTTAGTCACGAGGTTATGAGTCACCCTGCAACGAACTCATCCATAACTGAAAAACCATCGACCACGTGTATTAGACAAAAATAAAACAGTTTTTCATATTTTTCGATACAGAAAATAAGAAAACGTAAAATCTGTTTCAGGCAATGATTCTGACAATTTTGGCGTTTTTGCGACGAAAAAAAGTTACAAGAAAGATTTTTGGGGAGGTCGACCAGGACTCGTTATGTAAGTTCATTTTTGTAAGGATGATACCAGGCCTGTCTGTCGAATAAGAACTCTTGAGAGAAAGGACGGTCTGTTTTTGTTGTAGTGAGTCACCATCAAGACAGGTTAGATGGTATGAAGTTAAATTTTCTACCATTTCAACGACTATGAATGACCGAAAGCAAATAATAATTCGCCTACTTTCGCCACTGGAAACCCAATAAATTTATCACTATATATACGCTAAATATGCTAATTATCCGACCAATCCTAAAAGTTGACATGCACCGAAGGACTTATAGCCTCATTAACGAAGGAAACTTACGCTACAGTTAATTTCAGCTGACCATTCATCGTAAAATTCAAAGGTTCCTTCAGAACTTCCGGAATACATTCCATATTTGGAATGTTGAGCCTGAACTTCGCAATGAATTTGCGAAGTTGAATGAACTTCGAAACGAATTCGGAATTTCGTAAATTCGATTTATACAATTTGGCAGTAGTGGACGAGTTATCTCCGTAACTGTCAACATTTAAGGGAAAGTTAGATGAAGAAACTGGTTCAAAAGTGTTCTAAACGTTAAAAGCGAACGGTTTTACCTCAAGATTGCAGTAGAAATTGTTGACAAAAGAACAAATAGATGTCATGTTTCAAAATGAAATTTCGTTGGGCGCAATAATATTCTATATACCTATTCAAACTGTAGGTTGTCGAGGTAAACCCGTTCGCTTTTAACGTTTGGAACACTTTTGAAATAGTTTTTTCATCTAACTTTCCCTTAAACTTAAGCTTCGTAAATTCAATTGAATAAATGTTTGTTTGTAAAAGACTGCTTTATATCTCTAGATTAATTATGTTGTGCGAAAACTCGTCCCAAAGGACTATGAATTTTTATTTGTCGTATGAGATGAAAACTTACACCGTTATTTCGTGCGTGTTTTTGTTTTCTGACTATTTATAATGTTTGATGCATATAAAAATTATTAGTATTGATTTTCCTGCATTCTGATTGGTCAAGATCCACTGTCGCTGAAGTGATAACACTGGCCGGTGGCTATAGCTTTTTGTTGTTGTATTTCAGCTAAGAAATTTGAATTCATTATAAATCTTTATGAAATTATGTTGATTATTATTTGTAAACACCTCAAAATTTATACGAAAACAATTAGTCGCCTCAGGCTCGGTGATTCACTATTCACTTCGCCTTCGGCGACTGATTGTTAAATAGTTTTAGTTTAAGTATACGGAGTGTGTTGTCCGCAGTTCCATTGCTATAAACCTAACGAAAAATACCATAAATATAAACGAAATAAATCTGTGATCATCTAATTATTTTCAACGAGCATCCAAAACGCATACACCGTCTTATTTCCAATCATTATACATCTAGCCAATCACAATGAAGAACTTGTATGTTTGGACATTTACATAAATAATATAACGTCGCATACGTCCTTCGGTGCATGTCAACTAAAGAAAGAAGATCTCAAGTCGAAACTAGATATTTTTTGTAAAGGATGATCAAATTAAATAAGAGATGATCAAATCAAACTTTGTATTAAGATATTAAATCTACAATCTGTAGCCCTGTTGATTTCCTTGGTATTGATCATGACCGACTTGCCACCATGTTTGTGTTTGGAGCTGCTACTGAATCAATCATTACGCTAGTCACAAAGTTTGAAATTTCAGGTTCAAACGGTTGGGAAAAAGGTAAAAATCATCCATACTATCATCTAAAATAACAGGAGGCGTATTGTAAAGAACGTTTCGCTGGATCAAGGCAATCTGCTACCGTCGAATTCTCACAATTGAAAAGAAAATCAGGCGAAATTTTTTTGATGCAGCAATGCTGCCTAAATTAAAATCCTTTCTATTCTCCCATTTTTTAATTTTTTACGAAGTATTTTACAGTTCTTCAATTCTCAAAGTATCGTTTAAGTAATTGTACCCGTTTTTTGTAAATTACATCCAGCGTTCCTTCTCTTCGGCATTGCAATTGAATATGCTGTCATTTATTATCCCTACTTTGCTTGCCTGACGACGTATCACAAAATATTTGGTGCAATGATGGGTCTTCCATATTGTATAGTCAAGTAAGTGTGCTTACAATTATTGAGGTTTCCGTGCAACTTAAACGAAAGAAAACTGATTTGAAATTCCCGCTTTGACGTCATGTCCGGTAACTTTAAGGGCTAAAAACCATCGAGACAAAATTTTTCAATAACAAAGTGTATTGCGAAATTTTTTAAAATACAGGTATGTTCAAAGTCCGCAACCATGATACGCGCACTTTAACCTGGAAACAGACCTAAACGGAAAAAAATTGATTAGTTCGTCGCATCAGAAGTGAAAAATATTGTGCTGTGGCTCAATGAACAATTTGCATGTTGACATGATTGCCAACAAGTTGCAACAGTAGGCTACTGATGGTCTAAAAACTATTGTTAACAATGCTGTGCACATGGTGCAGCACAACATAGTTCACTCCCGTTTTAAACAACTTCCATCAACATGATGATCTTTACGCGTGTACCAGCCCTTAAAGTTTTAGTTCAGCGCTGTTTAAACAATGTGAAGCGGAAACTCGCAATGAAATTAAATTTGTATGTACATGTATGCGACAGTATTATGTTCGAAGTAAGGTGTAGGAGGACACGTAGTAGGACAAGTTAGTTTAATTCACGGCAAAAGTTGCATTTGCGCCCCACAAACTTTTGGCTTTTACGTCGTCTCCAATATTTTTCCCTTGGGCGGTGGTGGCTTTTATAGATTGTTTTGAAAATGCTGGTTATAAACCGACACACATTATGGATCAACAAACAGTAACAAAAACATGGAACTCAGAAAACAACATTTTCCTCCGTGTGTAATTAACCAATTAACTTTTTTTATTACAGTTTTTGTGTAACTTTAACACAAACGTTTCAAAGATGTCAGGTAAGTTTGATTTGGCAATTTTTGTCTAGTGATAAACCAGCGCGCTTGAGGAGCGTGTAAAAATATCGGTGCATAAAGACTTGCCTATCTTTATTTTTACCGTTAGTGAACATGAATGTACTAATATATAATTTCATTTTTTAATTCTTAAAGAATAATTCTTCATCTGGCATCGCAGTAATCGTATTGATGAATTTGCCAATAGTGATAAGCAATCTGTTTATCCTGGGCAAGTTCATATTCGTATTTTATCGGGAAATTAAAGAATATGGAATCTTCGGAGTAAAGCTATTTTCCCGCGATGTAAGTATTTTTGTGACGTAATCTTTATTATTCCCTGTTCACACGATACCGGCAGAGTTTAAAAACGGTGCGAAACTCTCACGTTTTGGGGCTGCATTCAGAGGCGTTGGGAACGGGCTGGGATTGAGAGGGGGGGGCTGTAGTCAACATTGGTCGAGGGATGTTCACGAGAAAGCCCCTTGGTTCGTGCTGAGTGACAATTTTTTCAAATTCTGCATGAGCCTCTAGATATTTGGAGATTTACCTCTAGATTTATTTAGATATTTGGCGACTATTTTGGGAACGACTAGCCTTAAATATTCGTAAATACTAATGGAAGGGGTTCACCCCACCCCCGGACACTCAGCCTGTATTCTATCAAAGCTCGCTTACACTGAAACTCATTGATCTCCTCAGTTTCCACAGCTGTATTTTCACACGAATAATTAATGTCCGTCTAGGATGAAAGTTCGTCTCCACAAGTGAAATTGCTCAGACCTTGGTTGAAGGAACACGTGAAGAACATTTTTAAACCAAAGTATGATCATGTGTAATACCATTGCGCCAAAAGAAGTTAGGAAGTAGCTATGTGCGGGCAAAATGAACATGGCTTTCGGCTAATTATATATTGACGTAGTAAAACACTTGCATCTAAGTGTGATAGCGCAGGTTATTGGTTAAAACGAGCTTCTGAACAGGTCTCAACAGCTAGGTTTTGCAAACTAATTCCTGTTACTCGGGATGAGCAGATAAATTGGGTGAAAATCGCCGATTTCAAATTTTCATTGAAAAATTGAATTACCCAGGTGTTTAAGTCTTCAAACAAAAACCACAACCACAAGAATGCCCAGCTTCACTCTTCCAGATGCAGTAAATTTCAGCAACTTTAGTTTTTACCAAATTTTCATTAATTAGTGAGTAGCAACCTGTCAATTTCTGTCTACGCCATGGCTGAATCATGTTTATGCGGCGAAGGGCTGCTAAAAGCAACTTAATTTGACTTTCTTTCATAATGTTTTCTCTCAGACTGTCTTTTTAGAGCTAAATTGCTCTCGCTCTCTCAAATAAATTAATCCTTACCTTTCGTTCATTTTTTTTCTTGAAGGCGTGTTTATTTTCTTCTTAAAATCTGTTTTTAACTCTGTGACGTTCGACTGGGAGAGATTCTATTTTTGGAATTTCCCTTTTTTTCTAGACCTCGTCGTCAATACTCAAGAATGGAATTTTTTCTGAGGAAAGTTTACAATCCCGAAAAAGGTATATGACCTTGTTTGATAATTAGATGATTTATACGATGAAGCACAATATTGCCCGTATTCAAACAGCAAATTCATGCACACCAATTGACCATAACAAAAAAGATGGCGGATGTACATTTTACCAGAATGCATTGCGGTCGGAAATCGTTTAAAAAAGCGAACTGACGTCTTTTAAAGGACAAGCATAAAACAGAAAGTTATTTTCTTTGCTGTGTTAAAATTTTACGTCATTAGCAGTTTTTCTTGCCATGTTTTTTTAGTCAATCATTCTTAATGCCCGCAATGCATTCTGGTACATGCCGCCATCTTTTTCGTTACGGTCAATTGAGTGTAACATAAAAATTATGTTATAACTGATCAATGAGATAGTCCTTTCTTAACTATTGGAAGGGTTTAGGGTAAAATATTGAAAATCAAGCTCTTATACGAGTAGAAATACGCAAAAGAATCACTATGAAGTAATTGAGATATTCCACTTAATGGGTTTGAGTGTGAGTGAGCTTTTAAAAATTAGAATAAAATTAGTCGTAAGTCCCGGTAGGCATATACGTACGACAGACGACGTTAGAACCTCGCTAGAATAACACTCATTTGTACTAAAAAATACCATGCACGTATATGTACATATTCAACATATGTTCGATAAATAGTAAACAAAAATAGAAACTTCGTATAAAGAGTAAATTTTAAAAAATATAATTTTCGAGGTTTCGACCAAACTATATAGTCATCTGCAGGAAAAGGATGATGACGAAATAACATATGTACATGCATGCATATAAGTACTCAGATAACTATATATATGATTAGTTATAGTTTCGTTTGACGTTTTTAGATTTTAAGTTTTCGACTGAAACTCTCTCTGTGATGATGATCTGTGGCATTCTGCTTTATAATGTAAGTTTTGAATATATATATATATATATATATATATATATATATATATATATATTAATAATATATATATATATAATATATATATATATATATATATATACAGTCGTTATCAAAAAGGTTGTCATATTGAAATATATATAAATACGTAAATATCAGTCACGTGATTTTACTGCATACGTTAATTTTATGGATAAAGAAACACGACCAAAATGAGCGAAATAAACAATGTTTAATGCTCACGTGATTGATATTTATATATTTGTATATATATATTGATAGGGACAACGTTTTTGATAACGACTGTATATATATATATATATATATATATATATATATATATATATATATATATATATATATATATATATATATATATATTATTTAAAATCAAAGTAGATTACAGTCGGCAATGTAAGCAAACGCTGTGTTTACATCTTGCTTCGCTATATATTTCTTAAAACATCCTGTCTTCTCAGAATATCTGCCATTATCTATCAATATATTACCATTTTAGTTCACTATATATTTCTAAATAAATAACAGATAGAACTCTATCTGAACTCTATGCTCAAAATATAACAGATAGAATTTATGCTTCTTATTGCGACGCCCTGTACATCCCTCTAGCACATGCTTGTCTTCTTATCTTTAAGTTTTGCATTGGATTAATCTATTTGACAAGTGTTGCATTGGAAGAAATCGAGGAAGCAAAACCTTATTCGACTGCTTTGGAAGAAGCATATTTTGACTCGTTGCGTGCGGTTGTTGGTTGGTGTTCCTCGAGCTCTATACAGTCACTATAAATATCGAGTTGTACGATATGAGAAAACTAGAAAGCTGTTTTGAACATTTTTTTACTAGGTTCATTATTGGCTAGTGCGATCCTCACGACTGTGATCTGTGCGCTCTCCCTCATTCTTTTCATGGAAAATCATAAGTATGAAAAAAAAGAAGTCTAATCCATAGTTTTTGATATTCAGGGTGCCCCCCCCCCTCAAAAAGCAAGACCAGTAGGCTAATGCCATACTAAGCAGGACCAATAAGCTAATGCTATAAGCTGAATCCAAGAGTGTATAGCAGTCAATAATTACTATACTGAGTTATATATAAACTTGTGCAAATCTTCACATCAGATATAAAACAAATTAAACCCACGGTGGCATATTCAAAATGCAATTCTTTTCAACTTTATTTCGCAAAAATATTGTTTTATTTGAATCGTCGTAGATCTGTCGAGATACATTTTTTACGTTTTTAAAACATGTATTTTCTACAATAGGACACCGGAAAGAATTTTCCATTCGGAAAAAAATTAAGAGTTTTTTGGGACACTCTGTAGTGTTTGATTAGTTTTTGCATGATCTTCCTTGTGATTTGTTTCAGGAATAACATGCTGAGGATGTTCAGAGGGGATAAATCGTTCATCGCTAAGAACATAAGCGTGTCACAGTTCATGGTTGTAAGTTGAGCAACTAACCTTTCTCGCGATGACGAATATGCCGCCATTTTTGGGGTACTTTTTTTCAAAACTGTTAGCGCAACTGCACAAGACCTCGCAACGGCGACTGGATTTATTCTTCAAATGGTCTGTTGATTCTAGAAAAATTGCTTTTCATGTTGTTTAATTTTTTAAACCCGTTTGAGAAAATTGAAAGTACCCAAAAGCGTCATCGTGAGAAAGGCTAAAAGGCTAAGGCACTCCTAAGTTGCTTAAAAAATAATAAAGTATTGCTTATCCGAGCAGGGAAGTGAGCCTAAAGAATTCTCAGTAAAAGTATATTTTTAAAAGATATATTTGATAGTAAAAAAAATGCTTACAATTTCTTAACGTGTAAACATTGCAGTTCAAACGACAAGTTTAATAATTGGAATTTAATGACTGCAGGAATGCACTCTTTTTCGCTACCAAGCAATGAACTTCCGTTTTTCCATTTTTCCAGGGAAAAGGACTTCGATATCACAGTTTTCAGATTGGTTACTTTTTGTGGGGTGAGTGTTCGTTCCGATTATGATTATGCAGGATTGGTATTTTATACCATCGAATTTATGGCTTCAAATCAACCCTAAATCGGTACGTGTTACTGCACTTGTTATTTCCAGCAAAGAAAGGGGTAGAGAACACAGCTATGGCGGTGCTATTGTAACACTTGAACATTATAACAGTGTATACATCATGTTTTCTTGAAAAATTACTCAAATCGCGACACTCGTGTTCCCGCCTATACCAAGACGATCATCAACTACACTGCATGATCAACTATTTTTGTGTTAAATTTTTCTCTGCAGAAAGGGCCATCCTAATGGTCATATTGTATTGATATCGCTTCTTTTTCTTTCCAGGCTTTCTTCTAAATTGGATTTTCATATTTATTCCATGTGTTCTTTTATATTCCTTGAAGTTCTCCTTGGTTCGGAATTGGATCCTCGGCTATGTCAGCGGCGGCGGGTAGGTGGAATCAACTGCGTTTATTTACTCTTTAGATTTTTTCAATTAAACATTCTTAGCAATTTTATTAGACAATGTGTTTAGGCATTTCTTATTTTGCAAATTTAACACTTCATCTTTATAAACATTGCTGGCATTTTCCTATTTTTATTTTCATACAGTTTTTTGCATCTGAATCAACTAATCAAAATTGGAAATAGTGAATGTTAAATTTGAAAGTGGAAGTTAAGTCCGTATCGGTTCTGCGCATCGGTTCTGCTCATAAGTCATGACAATGTGGGTCCGGTAGCATAAAACTTACCCATACTTCGCGCGTATCGATATTTCTGATAATAAGCGCTAACTTCATTTAAAAACGTAGCGAGACTAAATAGTGTTAGATGCTCAGACAGTACAGCGTTTTTTAAAACTATTGAAGTTTTAACTGTAAACAAACCGTTTGTTTACCAGTGGCGTAGCCAGCCTGACGATTTAGTCATACTATGCAAATTTCATGGTATTATCATTATTCATTTCTTTAGAAATTCATTGTTTTAACAGTCAATGAACATCGAAATATTAGCATAGCATGACTAAATTGTCGGGCTGGCTACGCCACTGTTGTTTACATACGAACTTCAATTCCACTTCAATGCTAAAGTTGTCGCCTTAAGTCTTAACAGTTTTTGTCTGACATTCTCTTTAGCATACTGTTGGCTCTGGGCTGTGCTCCATTGCAGCTTCTGTGACAATATTCCGGGATCGTAATTTCTCTAGAAACGTCATTTCCATAAACAACAGGTACGTCTTCATTGCGCTTTATGAGGGGCTAGACGGTACACTGGTTGAGTCAGATTCCAATACCACGAAGCGATCATTTTGTTTGAATATTTGTAGGATTTCCAGGACTTTACTTTAGAAATATGAGAAACACTCTGATTTACCTTGGAAATATCGTATATTTTTCATCCTCTCCGCAGGAATGTCTATTTGGTGTTTTCGTATTTCTGGTTTTTCGTGGGACTTCCGATGGGTGTCTTTTCTGCCATATTTCGTATCCTAAAAACAATGATTGTGGGATTTCTGATGTTGCCCAGAATTGATCATAGCATCATGCCTGATGGTTTTCAACGGTTTGATCCAGGTAACGCAGAGGGACAGAAAGGTGGGAAGAGGAGAGAGAGGGTTTAAGTTATCTGTTGATATTTGGATTTTTTTAACATCTCACATGCCATAATATTAATATAGCATGATAAACATGGATGGTGAACGCTTTTTTTGTGGGTACTATATAGATAGAGATTAAGACATGCTGAAAGTATTGTTTTACCAAAAATCGTCCACTACAGTCTGTTTCACGAAATGAGGCTGCTTAAGTAGTTTTGGTCAAAACGTGGGTGGCGTTCAAACAATGCATGCATTTCTAAGATTTTTTCGTATGACATATCAGCGTGAAACATTCTTTTGTGATTACATGAGGAAACTAATTATGATTTTTTGTTTAACAAAAAGGCCTTATCCTTTATGTTTGGAAGAAAAACTTTGTATTTTAATTCTGTTAAAAGGTTACAATGCGTACATCTGTTATCTTCACGTCCAAGCAGCTTTTAGAAACCCAGTTCTTCGAGTGTTTTGTCAAACACTGATCGATGATCACGAAACACGTAAGTTCTGCCACGTATCCGTCTTTACTGAATTAGGGACTGAATATTCGTATCAAACAAATGGTGGAACTTTGCTGTATTATAAAATATGCATTAGTAAGGAAGAAAGGTTAAAACCTATACACCACGGTTAACGGTAGCTTGTAAATAGTTATTAATCATCAACAGAAGCAAAACGGGCTATCCATATAATTATTATTAATTCATTCGGAATTCAGCTGTTTTTAAACTATTCTCGGAATCGTTCACATTCAGGGTTGGTAAGTTACTGAATAAATAAGCCAAACATTGTTATTGGCGGCCCTTTGATTCCTTTGTTTCAAACAAAGAAAACAAATGTTATGTTAATATATTTGGCTTATTTATTCATAAAATCTACCAACCCTGTTCACATTAATTGGTATTGGTCCCACTCAGTCAAGTACTCAGAAAATATATACCTATATCAGTATTTAAAAACTTTATATATATACATCATTCATTGTATATGCGAATACTAATATCCATATAAGTTATCATCATGATTAATTATGCCAATTAACGATACTACAATTGGTTATTTGAATCGTATAGAAAACCTCTATTATAGACTCTATCACTGCTACGCTTGTGGTGGTCATAACCACCAACCACTAGCGCTAAATTCAGTTTTCCAATATCAAACAATGTTTATCTGACTTCCTCATCGTTGTATATATCCTAGAAAGGAAAAGTGGACCAAAGTGGATTCGCTCTCCCCAGGCCCGCGCCAAGTGGTTCATCGCACTCACCTTGGCTCGCAATCCACAACTTGCAGCTGAACGAAAACGTGCGAAGACAATGTGTGTCAAAGATAGCGACGTCAAAATCGAAGTTGGTAATTATGGCCCAGATAATGCAGGATTATTACTAGATAAGTAAATAATCATGTTTAAGTTGCATGTTTCTTTAGATTTTTTTTTTTTATTAGCTGGTTAGTTGTATTAGATTTTCTTTTTTTATTAGCTAGTTAGTTGTATTACGTTTGGAAACGAACCGTGCATGACAAAACATTTTCATCCACACATGCATTTTCGAATGTGAAAAGCAGGGTGTTTTGACGATATCAAGCCTTGTTGTCATGTTGTGGTTAATGAAGAAATGTAGTATTAATATAACAAATATAGTGCACCGGTACAAGGTTCCTCACAAAGCTATTCGATCCCAAACACTGTCCTTGCTGCGATCCTTGCTTGCTAAAGCAGGAATATCTGTAGACTACACCGGACATTCAACGAGATCAACCTCGATATCGGAAGCGCAAACGTGGGCGTGCCGTTGGAGATTATACTAGCTGCATCTGTTTGGTCTTCGGCAAATGTTTTTAACAAACATCATAAAAAGACTCAAAATACCTTTGCAAATGCTGTGTTGAGTACATAGTTGTTGAAAATTAAAAGTTCATTTTCTGTTTTGCTTTGGTTGTCGGTTTAGTATCAGAGGCCTTGCAGTAAGGCTTTGAAATCTGCACCAGTATTGTGAGTATCAGTCGAAGAAGGTACGAAGGAGGAATTAAATTTCCCCGGAGGGTACTCACCTGACGGGGAGATGTAGTTCTCCGAGGTCCTTCGAAGACTGATAGGAACAATACTGGTTCCCCAACCGTTATATACCGATAAATTAGCGTGGGTTCCAGACCGCTGCTGGCCGCGGATCTGCACCAGTATTGCTCATTTGCTCCTATCAATCTTCGAAGATCCTCGGAGAACTACATCTCCCCGTCAGGTGAGTACCCTCCGGGGAGATTTAATTTCTACTTTATATATTTAACAATGTAAATAACCAATTCATTCGCACCGAAGATGGCTTATAGTTAAGTCGAAACATGTTTGCTATTAAAAATTAATTTCAAATGCTTAAGTTCATTTCATGTGCCACTGACGCTGATAATAGGGAGATTTAGCATCAAGACGTGAACGTCATAGACGACGTGAAAATGGCGAGTAAATGGCGTGGCATGTCCATATTTGGGCGCAAACGCCACTTATTCGCCATTTTCACATCGTCTTTGACGTTCACGTCCTCGTGCTAAATCGCCCTAATTGCCGACTTGAGGCCGTGAAATTTGAGAATCAGGCTTATGTAGTTATGAAACCTGATACGTCTTGATTCCCGTGTCAAGCATAAACTGTTATTTCAAGCAAGAAGCGTTTCCATCCAGAGATTTTCTTTCCCAGGAAAATTCAATTGTCCGTAAGTCGACAATAATATCGACATTGTTATTATTTTATTGTGTACTGGCTTGTCGCTATATAACTTATATTCTACTCTACTGTATAGTTTACGTGCACAATTAGGAAAATAAAAAAGAAATATAGAGCATATCTGACTAATCCTAAAGCATTAACCATTGCTTCTCAGTATATTTGAAAACAAACTGACAGTGTTTAGCAGAATAGCAGACAAATATTAGCAGAATAGCAGCTGATATATATATTAAAATTTACATAATTACATATCGTTGTTTGCTTACGCCATCCTCCCATCAGCCAAGATTCGTAGTCGTCGAGCTTTTGAGTACGAGTATTTTGATAAATTTCGTACTCGAAAGCTCAACGACTACGAGTTTTTGCCGAATTTTCGTACTCGTAGTCGTACTCGTCACTGCTAAAGCTCCCTATTTGTGGAATTGTTGTTTACTAGCGAGGCTTGCCATGACATAAAATGGACATCAAATACGTTATATCTGATTTTGTCGTAGGTTGAAACGTCGAATATTAACGTAAATCAAGTGTACAGAATTCAACTGCATGTCGTGTACTCGTAATTCTATATACTACGATATTATCATTATTATGCAGACATTGATATGGTCGAAATTCATTCAGATTTGCATGCGTGTATTGAAGTCCTTACAATATCTGTCAAAGCCACAAAGACACGTTTTCTGTGAAAGCCACAAAGACAAGTTCAGAAGTTCACAAGTTCGAGATCATGATCGAATCAGATCGATATAATTTATCAGGGTTTTGGTCGGTCAGTTAAAATGGTTTTTAGCAACACCGCCATCTCGGCTTCATACTTTTGCCAGGAAGAATGATTATTGAATTCTTACCGCTTTTATTACTTCATTTCCTTGTCTGTATGAATATAGAAATTATGCAAATAATTATGATTTTTGGCACTCGAAATTAAGACCCTTTAAACCTTATGCAAATAATGCCTTTGGCTTTTTAAAATCTTTATGCAGATAGACCTTTTGCATTATAGACTACTTTTTGATCTATGCAAGGAAATGCAATCAAATCACCACGGCTGAAAAGAGCGTTTTAAGATTAGTAGAACGCAAGGCTTGGTTGCGAAATGTTGTAAAATTCAGGAAATATAGCCTTGAACAGTTTGCAAATTTGTATACCTTTTAGGACAAACGGAAATTGTTACCATTTTTGGCCAAAATGCGGTCACCATTTCCATACAAATTTGCAAATACTAATTCCATATTAATTTCGGTACGCACTTTACAGCTGTCGTGATTTGATCATGATTGCATTTCCTTGTATAGATAAAAAAGTAGTCTATTGTTGGTCACAACCTGGCTTAGCGCTGTTTTCCACTTCAGCCATACCGTAGCGACACGTCGCGTATATCATACTTTCATGAACACTCGGATAGAACTAATGACTTTGTCATTAGTCTTTGCATGTCATTACAATCAGCTGTAGCTCAATCAAATCAAGAAAGCAAATTGCCAGAATTTCAACTTCTGCAGGCTCCGTCGTTTTAAAAGCACCGCCTATGACTTACCAGATTCACGCCCCACCTTTGTCTGCGACGTCGGTGCGACCAAACACCACGTCATTGCACATACAACGAGTATTTGCCAATCATTTTCATTGCCAACCGCACCCGCGATCAATCCGTGAACTACAACTTCATTACCAATCACAACCTGAACCACAATAATTTCTTTCCCATCTACTCATTCAACCTCAAACATTTTATTCCCATGGTCAACCTCAACCACAAACTCGTCTACAACCACAACCTCAACCACAACTTTATCCCCCCCCCACAACCACAACATCAACCACAATTTTATCCCCCACAACCCCAACCACAACCTCACCCACCGTTTCCAAATCCGAATCCCCAACAATTCTTAATATACCTGTTGGAATTTTGTCCGAAAAAGACGTCGAAGTGCTTTGGATGTGGTGAAAACTTGCGAGAATATGAAGATCAATCAATCAATCAAAAATCAATCAATCAAAAATCAATCAATCAAAAATCAATCAATCAATCAAAAACTTTATTAAACCACGGTAAAATCTACAGTATAAAAAGGTTGGACATTTAAAGAAAAGTTACAAAGTACAGGTATACATAGGACAATTACACAAGACTGAACGATTTACAAGATTGCCGTGCGGGAGTCTAATCTCTCTTTTAAACTGGTTAAGGGAGCATAAAATGCTCGTACATTTAGTGGTAACTCATTCCACAACACTGCACCACTATAACTAAAACTACGTTTTGCATAATTTGTTCGCGGTTTTGGCACAAATAATTAAAGTGTTTTCAGAATTTCTTAAGTTGTATCTAGTGCTGCGAACTTGAAATAAATCAAGAAGATATGTCGGTGTTTAATCATTTAGAGTTTTGAACATCATTACACCCTTATGTTTTTTCCGGCGTATTAAAAGAATATCCCAACCTAGTTTGTTAAAAAGGTCGCTGGAACTAGCATCAATTAGAGATTTGGTGATTACCCTCGCTGCTCTATTTTGCAGCTTTTGCTGCTCTGGTTTGCAATCATATCCCAGAGCCACCCAACGATATAGTTATTGTGTCTAAAATGTTCCCAGAGTATACATACCAAGGACAAGCGAAAAGCCAGCTGAGAAATGAATATTTTCATTGTGCAACTCATGTGCTAAGAATAAGGATCAAACTTTTGAAGCCCGCAAATTAAGTCCCATCAGTTCGGACATTCGACCCTTCATTCAGTTGTTTCACCTAAAGCATCTGCGAGAACGTTTTTCTACGCGATCAAACAGTCAGATACTACTTTAAAAACATGATATCAATAATCATTGGAAATTCAAAAGTTTTGTTATTAAATCTAACGTTTTGTTAAATGCGGTGAAGACTTCTACAAACACTGAAGACATCTAGATTCAAAAATGTAAATAGATATCCTAGTTATAGAAATTGAAGTTACTGTTATTCTTAATCTAATTTACCGTTAAGACTAGAAATGATCTTCATATCGATATCGAACATGGATATTTATCAATGATCAGTTACTAGAGTTACCGGTTATCCGGCTATTCGATTACCCGGTTATCCGTTACCCGTGTTACCCATTTGGTCTGTGTCTGTCGTGCTGTTCTACTTATTATGCATATCTTGTATCCTGTTATGTTGTCAATCATTGTAGTAAATAACTAGAAGTAATCAAAGATTAGCAAGTGCGTTCGGTGGTGCGGTTTGTTTACTTTATGAGCAAATAAAATTCCGGATTTCGCATGGTTAAACCAACGGAAGATAGCTTCCTGATGCTTTGACGAGAATTCTCAGTCATATTGCAGACACTTCAAATCAAAATAATCGAGTGTACAATTCCCATAACTTCTTAATAAACAGGCGAATATGAAAGCCAAATGCCCGGTCCTATAAACAACAGCGTATTATCGCAAAATACGGAAAGCACGTGACATTAGGACACGGCACAAAACCCGGAAATCAGAGCATACGCAAAAACACGAAACCGAGGCAAATGTTACATCCAAAAATCTCGAAATGACATAGCATCCAGCCGTGACGTCACGATTAGGAAGCGTTCTCCTTCGTCGAACGCAATTATGTTATTCATTGAGTATCACCTCGCCTGTATCATTATTTGATTTATTTCTACTTTATATATTTAACAATGTAAATAACTAATTCATTCGCACTGAAGATGGCTTATATATAGTTAAGTCGAAACATGTTTGCAATTAAAAATTCTGTCGTTTATTTCAAATGCTTAAATTCATTTCATGTGCCACTGACTCTGATAATTGCCGAGTGTCAGGCCGTGAAATTTGAGAATCAGGCTTATGTAGTTATGAAACCCGATACGTCTCGATTCCCGTGTCAAGCTTTAAGTGTTATTTCAAGCAAGAAGCGTTTCCATCCAGAGAATTTTGTTTCCAGGAAAAATCAATCGTCCGTAAGTCCGCAAAAATATCGACATTGTTATTACTTTATTGTAGACTGGCTTGTCGCTATATAACTTATATTCAGGCTACTCTACTATATAGTTTACATGCTCAATTGGGAAAATGAAAGAGAAATATAGAGCATATCTGACTAATCCTAAAGCATTATCCATTGCTTCTATATTTGGAAACAAATTGACAGTGTAGACTCACTTTTGTAAAGCATCGTTGTTCCTAATAGCGGCTAATATATATTTATATAATTACATATAATTACATAAATTCGCCAATACCTGTTATGTCTGTATTATCAGGGAGCTTTAGAAGTGACTACGAGTACGAGATTCGTCATTCTCGCCGCGAGAATCTCGCGCGTTGTTTGCTTACGCCACAGATTAACACCCAGATGTCTCACTTCTGATTAAAAAAGCGTGACTAGAGGCATCACCCCCCCCCCCGAAATTTGAAAATGGAGCCGATCCATTTATATTGACAACAAACATGAAAATAAACTCCTCTCATTTGCTAGAGAAAGGGACCGTGTGGTTAAATTTGTGTCTGAACCCTCATCATATCTATACGCGTACTCAGCGACTACGAGTTTTGGCCGAGTTTTCGTCGTCGTACTCGTAGTCACTGCTAAAGCTCCCTATTTGTAGAATTGTAGTGTACTAGTGAGGCTTGCCATCAGATATAACGTATTTGATGACCATTACTTTATTGTAGACTGGTTTGTCGCTATATACCTTATATTCAGGCTACTCTACTGTATAGTTTACGTGCTCAATTGGGAAAATGAAAGAGAAATATAAAGCATATTTGACTAATCCTAAAGCATTATCCATTGCTTCTATATTTGGAAACAAATTGACAGTGTAGACTCACTATTGTGAAGCATCGTTGTTCCTAATAGCAGAATAGCGGCTAATATATATTTATATAATTACATATAATTACATAAATTCGCCAATACCTGTTATGTCTGTATTATCAAGGAGCTTTAGAAATGACTACGAGTACGAGATTCGTCATTCTCGCCGCGAGAATCTCGCGCGTTGTTTACTTACGCTACAGATTAACACTCAGATGTCTCACTGAAAATTGAAAATGGAGCCGAACCATTTATATTGACAACAAAGATGAAAATAAACTCCTCTCATTTGCTAGAGAAAGGGACCGTGTGGTTAAATTTGTGTCTGAACCCTCATCATATCTATACGCGTACTCAACGACTACGAGTTTTCGTCGTCACGTCGTACTCGTAGTCACTGCTAAAGCCCCCTATTTGTATAATTGTAGTGTACTAGTGAGGCTTGCCATCAGATATAACGTATCTGATGACCATTTTATGTGATTATGTCGTAGGTCGAACCTTTATGCTTGCACAGTTTGCAAATTTGTATACTTTTTAGGACAAACAGAAATTGTTACCATTTTTGACCTAAATGTGGTAACAATTTCCGTTTGTCCTAAAAAGTATACAAATTTGCGAACTTCGCAAGGCTATATTTTCTGTATTTTACAACATTTCGCAACCAAACTTTGCATTTCTACTAATTTCAGTAAGCTCATTTCAGCTGTGGCGATTTGATTGCATTTTCTTGCATGGATAAAAAGTTGTAGTCTATTGTTGGTCACAACCTGGCTTAGCGCTGTTTTCCACTTCAACCGTACCGCAGCGAATATATCATTCTTTCCTGGGAACTCACAGATAGAACTAATGACTTTGAAACAAATTAAGGAATACGCTAAGCTTCGCTACAATATTGTTGCAATGGATAGCAGACCTTATTCCGATTTCTCTTATAGCTTACGTATCTTACCAGCAATGACTAACCAGACAAACTTATCTTCCAACGAATCTCCCACTGCGTGAGTATACTTCATAATAGTTTAGCTATAAATGTCTGTAATTGTTTCAAGTGTCAATGTGTTTTCTTATTTCTAGTGCTGCATGTGATGTTGATACAAGATATTATCCTCACCTGTTTCTGATTCCTGCTGTAAGTTTAAAGTGTTAAATCAAGCAAGGTGGAATTTCGTTTTAAAGTTAATCGACATATTTTCTTACATCTTTTAGGCAAAGCCAATCAAAATGCCTAAATATGTAATACTTTATGTAAAATGGTAAATTATGTACCTTATTATTGAAGGTAGTCAAAATTTATGCATTCTGAATGGTTATTGAAAACGTAAACAAACTTGCTGATTGGTCTAAAACGAAATTCCCCCTGTTGTTACATCATTTTATTTTTTACAACATATTTACTGTTTTAAAGTCTTAATTATGCATTTTGCATAATTAAATCTGGAATGCAACTTGAGAATACACATGCACCTCTGATTTGCCGATTCTTTCTATATAGCTACGGTTATAAAAGTTAACCACGTGTACCTTTTTATACATTTGCTAGACTAATATTTCTGACAGAGTCCATAATCACAATATTTTACCAAGGGAATTGTTATTGCATGTCGGGTTGAAGATGATGTATAACGAGTGATGGAAACGTGCAATCTCTTCCAGGCAATAATTCTCACGATATTGTCATTTCTGCGACGAAGAAAGAGTTTCAAGAAAGACGTTTGGGGAGGCCGACCAGGACTTGTTATGTAAGATAGACTTTTTCGGTAATTACGTCACAACATTATCGTTTTAAATTTAGTACCACCTTAAATAAGATGGATTTCAATTCAAGTTTTATTCTCACAAGGTATGTGCCAAGATGCAAAACATTTTTCTATAACCCGTGCATGAAAAAGAATTTTAGCATTCACTGACGTGCATTTTTACAAATAAATATGGAAATAAGCCATAACGCGGGAACGGCTCGCGGTCTTGGCCCCTCAGTTTCGTTCTCGTAGTATGGCTTATTGGTCAAAACAAAAAATTTCCTTTTTTCATGCATGTGTTGAAGAAGGATATTTTGCATCATTGCAGGTGACTCGTGAGAGTAAAACTTGAAATCCATTTCATTTAAGGTGGTTTTCAATTTGAAACGTTGTGATGTTAAAATTTTGTGACGTAATTACCGAAAATGTCATTACACAATATGCTTTTTATGAGAATATCTCACCGGGTCTGCATGTCATCTGCTCGAAATAGAACTTTTTCGAGAGTGCGACTTTCACGTTAGAAGCTTTACGAGCCGAGTTTATGTAACACACAACGTGGTCTAGCTTCGGTATTTATACTGTACGCTTCCTTTAATTATCTACACTGTTAAAGTTATATCATGTCGACTGCTATTTAAGAAATAGAAAACATTTTCCGTGTTTCTATGCAGTTATAGAAACGCGTGTTTGAAAACGATACCGTAAGGTGATTTTTTCCACGTTATTTCGAGTTCTCCCAAACTTCCTTGTGGAAGTTGTGTGTTTCTATAACTGAATGTTTTCTATTTCTTTTATAATATAACTCGATAAAAAGATTTTGTGCAATAACCATATTTTGCAGATAACCTGCTACGATACGGTTGAAGTTGAAAACGGGCTTTACTTATCACACAGTGAGGATTCAGGAGGAAAATGTTTCATTTTACTAGGGTTACAAATGCTGATACAAGTCATTACACATGCACTGCGTACTTAATAGTGGGTAGCATTGTAAAAGAAAAAATAACACCTTGACTTCAGCGGGTCATTTTGGTATATCGGTTACTACTCATGAGCAGATGCTCACATGTGCAATGAGATTTTTCACACGCACTGGAAAATCTTGCCGATAAAATAAAACTGGGGTGAGGAAGAAAGAAAATTATGGAATAACGATTTTAACACCTATTTGTCTTGCAATTAGTTACAGCAAATCAGCAATAAACAATAATTTCTTCTAAACCGTTCTAATCGGTTTTTTTTTGTCACTGTCTTTATTTTCGACGTCATCCTCAATATCGTGGTCGTTTAAAAGCCTTTTAATAAGAAACTTTCACTTATCAACTGCAGCTTCAATTATTTCTGGGTCAAAATCATCATTTTGAATAAATACATCTTTTGTGTGCATTATTTTCTTATATACTGGATTCTACAGGCGTTCTAAGTAGATACTTTCCAATTCTTTCTAGAGTCTGATCAAACATGATGATTTGCAAAACAAATAAATCTTAAAATCGTTGTTCCATGTCTGAAATTTTGTTTCTCCCCCACCCTAGTTCTATTTTATCGGCAAGAACTTCCAGTGGTGTGAATGATCTCATTTAGCATGTGAGCATCTGCTGAAGAGCAGTTATGAGTGTGTGCTCAACTGCTCATCGCACAAAAATTGTAACTCATGATATACCAAAATGACCTCCTGAAGTCAAGGTGTAGTTTTTCCTTTTACAATACAACCCACTATTAGGTACACGGTGCATGTGTAATGACTTGTATCAGCATTTGTAACCCTAGTAAAATAAAATATTTTCCTCCCGAATCCTTACTGGGTAATAAGTAAATTGTTGCCGAACAAACATATCACCGTGCGTATTTACGATATCATGCGTATTTACGCTTCATTATTATGCATTGTTTGCCCTATTTCTCACACCCACGCATTATTCCACTCGCGCGTGGCGTCCACGCATATCTACGACATATTCTGGCATGTTTCCGACTCACGCGTTGCGTGTTTTTTTCCGCCGGATGTAGTGGGGGGTTATCTACTCGTGCGTACTATAAATATAAATACTGTAAATCTGTATTTTTGCAGTAATTAGTTTCCCACGGGGGTACATAATTGTTTTATTATATCCTGAACTATATTCCACCGTATTTAGCCCTGTAGATTTCCTTGGTATCGATCATGACCGACTTGCCACCATGTTTGTGTTTGGAGCTGCTACTGGATCAATCGTCAAACTAGTTTTTGGAGGAGTGATCGAAGGCAGCAATGCTTGGGGAAAAGGTAATGAAAATGTAATGTATTGTAAAACGAAATGCTCGTATTTGATTTCAATAAACAAAACATTCATTTGAGCCCCAACTGCCTCTTCTTATTTATTTTAACCTGGTGCCGCACTAGTTGTTTGTGAATATTTCTTAATAGCGTTTCTCATCGTTGGCATTGCAATTGAAATTGCTTTCATTTATTATCCCTACTTCGCTTGCCTGACGTCGTATCATAGAATTGTTGGGGCAATGATGGGCCTTCCGTATAGCGTGATCTAGTAAGTAACTAAAGTAAGCTCAATTAACAGTTACTGTTTAAACCAGGTTCGATCCATCAATCGAATCATTATTACATGAGACTGAGCCTGATATTATAAGAATGGCCCAATTTTACATAATAATCCGTCTGACAGATGATTCGTCTGGCTATAAAGACAAAACAAACTATGTAGACGAACTACGTAGAATATGTCAGTCGAGACAGAATCGCGTGCTGAGTGAATTGGGAACGAATGTGCATGGCGGGAAAATCCAAATTTTAATGAAGCAATTATCTGGTAAAAGAAAATTAAATAAGAAAAAAATATTTATGTTTCAAAAAGAGTGCACAAGCGCCGTTTTATGACGAAATTTTCCGTAGTTCGACTCCACCCTTATTTTATTTTATACTAACAGAGGGATGTGGCGTCAAGTCAAACTACCCATTCTAATAATGTACATAAAAAAAGTTCTCAATTCTGATTGGTTTAGAGCAGTGCAATTTTTGTGAAATCCCAGTGCTAATTTCTTTAAAAATGCTCCTGAGTGTTATAATTTTTGTGTCTTGATATAAATTAAATATTTTATGTAAAAACGTTAAAACAGTTCTATTTTTGACACGATTTGAAAACAACATGCGACTACGCATGAATTTTGCTAATTGAATAAATTATTTATCATATAATTATGTAGCACCTGTCCCTTAATTTTTTTATGTATATTATTAATAGGTAATAGCATAAATTCTCGTGCGATTTTGAAAAACATACACTCGTGAATTTTTCAAAGACATCCAAGAAAAACTGTTTTTTCCAAATTGCACTCGAAACCATACGGTTACCTATACAAATTCGTGAACAATTTTGTAAATTTGACGTCACCTACAAATACCTGGAATTATTTGTAGGTGACTAACCAATTAAAACGGAGATTGTATAAAATTATATGGTGAAAAATAATCAGTTTGTTGTTTGTTTTTTTCCTCTAGTTTTTGTGTAGTATTAGCGAGCGCTTTTCAGCAGTGTAAAGTAAGTTCATATGGACCATATGTGTGATTTTTGTTTTGTGCACGACTGTACTTTCCCCTCGAGAAAATTTGGGTGCGTAGAGAGAGTAGCCAATATCAGTTACCCAAAACAAAAGGCGCCCCCCAGGGGTACGTGTATTAACGTCGTGGTTAACACGAAAAAACACAGCCAATATACATTGGGCAAATTTAGCTTGAAGAGAACGTTAATAACTAGCTTTTTACAACCTGCCCAAAAACACAATCACCAGCAAGCCAAAATTTACGTGAATTTTAACGCGAGATCCATCTTAGTAGAACCATTGAGTGAGTTATATTGACGGATGCACGTAATCATTCTTGCATGTAAAAATTTATGCGAACGGCTAAAAATTCCGATTTTGAAAGTTGCATGGCAGTCTTGATGTTCATCAAATTTTCTGAAATTCAACCTCGTACCCAGGGTCCCCGCGTTTAAAGTTCTGGTGACGCGAGGGGGACCCTGGCAAACTCCGATTGCCAGGTTACCAAATAATCCAAAAATCTTGGATTATTTGGTGACCTGGCCTTTTATAGCAACGTCATACCGGGGGGGGAAGCTCAAAATAGAAAAATTTCACAAATATGGCGTAAAAATTTTAAACATATGTTTGGTGATAGAAAGTTATTCAATTACTGGTTAATACCGAAGATTTTGAACTCGTGATCCGCGTGGAAATGTATAAATCTATATACACACGACATATCGAGTTCTGGATAAAGAAACAGGTACTGTAAATTAAATATCAGGGGCCGGTTGTTCGAAGCCGTTTAGCTTTACGGTGGTTAAGCCCAAAATAAAATGCAGTCTATAGATTCAGCAACAAAACTAAAGTTTTAACTTAATAGAACGTGATGTCACAACTACATATTTAGTAAATAATTAAGTTAACTGATTCACGAGAGATATGAGTGTTTTTAATTTTGACTAATACTTATACTTTGACAGTTTGACTTATACTGTATATGGTAGTTGCATTCACAAATACAATAAGGGGAAACCAGCCATTCTAATGTACTTTCATGACATCACATTTGATACAGTATTTACTGAGTGATTAATATTTATCTCAATACCTGTAGGTAGGACATCTTAGTGTGGAATAACTCAGAGACAAATGGACTGCAATGGTTCCCAGCTCTCTTTCGCAGTATGTGATCCAGCTCGCAAGTCCTTTGCACCAGCAGACCTGACTCGGGTCATTTGATCACCACCAAATGGAACTGATACAATTTTCATATGGTCACTTTCATCCACCCTATTGTAATGCCTTGGTTTTGATCTGGTAATGACGACTGTCCTTCAACTGTAAATGGCCGTTTTGAGGCTCCCCACCCCCCCCCCCCCGCATATCGAAAACGCTTCTGTGCCCTTGATTCATATTAGAAAATTTTGGTGATGAAGAAAATTTTCGGGCAAATAGCCTCAGCCCCCCCCCCCCAGTTGAAATTGGCCCTGTACGCCTATGATGACAAGTTCTTTAAACGTTTGCAAGGTGGAAAAACACCACATATATTTATTAATGCAAACTATTCGATCCATATGCCTTGATTATCACTGATGACAATGCAGGCATACAGACTGAAAGCTTTGCATTAATAAATATACATGGTGTTTCTCCACAAAACAATACAATTATATATCATATATAGTTTCTGTTTTCTAGTGATCTATTCCTAGTATGTACAGTGTAAGACAAATGTGCTCTGAAACCTATTCCTCTTGTAGTTTTGTGCAAGTTTGTGTGTGCACAGTTTGATCTGGGTTGATCATATTGAATATTAAATTGCTGACATATTTTAAGGCTATTACAACAAATAGAATTTGTTCCTCATTTCTGAACTTATCCAGCATAAAGTGGGAAAAGGTCCTAGCCTAGAATCTGCAATTACAAAATATTTGGAATGAAAACTGACTTTATATTGTACCAAGCTGCATTGATCAACTGCTGAATGCCAAAGCATGGATGTCTGTAGATTGTACTATATCTATGATAGAACTTAAGTTTTTAACTACAATGAACATACATATAGACCTCCACTGGGAAAGCATTTTGAAACAATCGCAGAACAAGTCTGCAATTGAAGGACAGTTTATTTGTTGACAACCCTATAAGTACAAGTAACTATGTAAGAATTTTGCTGATTATTGTACATCATAATTATATATTTTTATATCATGAATTATATATTTAAAATTTCTACATGTCTTTTAAAAAAATCCACTATATCATATAACATATACATGTGCTTTAGAAGTGGTGTTTTCAAACTTTAGCATCAATGATAAAAAATAAGGACAAACAAAATCAACTTAAAAGTTTAACTGTATTTTAATCATAAAATATACATACAATTTTATATACACTGAATTCATAGCCTTCCCAGTCACTGTCACGTTCTTAAAGTTGTTGTCTTTTTTATCCAATAATGAGTCCATTAGGCTATAGTTGATGTACCAAACGATTCCTATCGATACTGATTGGACTTTAGAGATCTATCATAACCACAACCTACACAAATAGCCAATCTTTGAATTATATAAAATGTGATTGTGATGTGATTCATCTTTCATCTTTTCATGTCAATTTTCATACATCTTCGGTAAACAAGATTGCAAAAATATGTAGACTGCTGCTGCCAGTAGGGAAACCAAAGTAAGAAGAATCTTGTAAAAAGAATCTTGTAAGAACGATCTTTGTGTCTATATCTCTTTTATTTGTGTTATGTATTTATTTGTCTTCGCGAAGTTTGCTTCTGCATTCTGCACCAGTGTTCTGCACAGAGCCATCACCCCCCGGATCAAAAAGTTACAAATTACGTAATCTCCAAGATTCATGACGTCACGGCATCGGAGTTTGCCAGGGTCCCCCTCGCGTCACCAGAACTTTAAACGCGGGGACCCTGGGTACGAGGTTGTCTGAAATTTTGGTACGTTGCACAAAGGGGCCAAATAATAAACTCTGATGTGCTCAGTTATGTCTCAGTTGAAGTTACACGTCCGTAACTTATTCACTGTTTCACATTTGTCAAAAGATGAAAATAGCGTCTAAAATTGCAGCAAAATGTCGAAATGTAAACTGCCACCTTTTTTCCCTTTTCTTAACCGGATATCTCTACAGCTTTAAACCAGCATTTAACATCGTGTTTTTGTTCATCAATCCTTAGACCAATACTGCGTCCGAGCACGGTTCAGTCTTCTTGATAAATATACCAATAATAATATGTTATGTTTTCATCATTGGCAAGTTTGTACTCGTACTTTATCGAGAGATTAAAGAATATGGAATCTTCGGAGTGCAGTTATTTTCCCATGATGTAAGTTGGTTTGTTGATATAGCAGAGCCTGGC